GACACAAACAGCAATGGACCCCCAGATAGTGACCCAAATGGTGCAGTCAGTCCTTGAAGGTGCAGCCATGCCTTCCCCCTGCTTACCACCAGAGGGCACTGTCCTCTTGCCTGGCCCCACAGGAGTCTTAATGCTCAAAGCACTTTCATAGAGCTCCCCGCACCCGGCCCAGATGTTTACAGATTTTGGGGGGTCCTAGCAGAGCTATGTGCTGGGTATAGTCCTCCAAGATCTCCGGGTTCCCTGTGGAAACTTGCTGGCATGGCATCACCAAGGGGAACGCTCCCAAAAGTGTGGGAGGATCCAGATAGGGGCAGTGAAAGTGTGACAAGGAGGAGGGACCCAACTCCTCCTGGGCCCCCAACATATGATGGTCATGTGTGAGCATCAAGGAGGGACTACAGGAACATCTCCATCTGATCCTGCTCTGAGTGTCTCCACTGTGACAGAGACATGAGGGTCCAGGTGAGGGCAATCAACTGACACTTCAGATCTGGGTGCTACACTGACATAGATGTGAGGACACTCAACTGTCACCTGACCTCTGGGTGCCTATGAAGGAGAAAGCGATGAAAGCCCTGGTGAGGACTGTCATCTGTCATTTCAGCCCTAGGAGCCTGCAATAGGGAAGAGGCACGAGGTCCCAGGTACAGAAATTCAGCTGTTATCTCCAGTCTGGGTACCTACAATGAGGCACAAGTATGAGGGACCAGTGAAGACAGTCATTTGTCAACTCACCTCTGGGTGAATACATTCTGACACAGAGCTTGGAGCCTCACTGAATTGAGTCAAATGTCACCTCAGCTCTGGGGCCCTACAATGGGAAACACATATGACAGGCCAGGTGAGGAGAGACATCTGTCACCCAGTGCGCATACACTGAGGCAGGTGCAACAGGTCTCAGATGAGGAAAGACACCTGTCACCTGAGCCCTGGGTGGCAACACTGGTGCTGAGGTATAAAGCCTTTCAACTGACATCAAATCTCTACAGTGGGACAAAGCAGGAGGGCCACGTGAGGACAGCCAGCAGTTCCTACAGCATCAGATGCAGGTTTTGACACTTCATGAACATTTAACTTCTGGATGCCTTGACTAGGGCAAGGTTTAAGGGCCCATGAGTGGAGAGTCACCTTTCGCATCAGTGCTTTTTTAAAAAAAAGATTTGATTTATTTACTTTCAGAGAAATGGGAAGAGAGGAAGAAGGAGGAGACAAACATCAATGTGTAAGAGATACATCAACTGGTTGCCTCTCGAGCGCCCCCAACCAGGGACCTGGCCCCCAACCCAGGCCTGTGCCCTGACCGGAACTCAAACCAGCAGCCCTTTGGTTACAGGCTGGCACTCAATCCATTGACCCACACCAGCCAATTTTTTAAAAATTGATTTTAGAGAGAGAAGAAGGGAGAAAGAGAGAAAAAAAAAACATCTATTTGTTGTTCCACTTACTGCCGCATTCATTGGTTGTTTCTTGCATATGCCCTGACTGTGGATTGAATCCGCAATCTTGGCATCTTGGGACAATGCTCTAACCAACTGGGCTGCCTGGCCAGGGCTTCACATCAGTTCTTGATGCCTAACCTCGGGTAGAGGCATGGACAGATGAGGGTATTCAACTGTTACCTCAGTTGGGTCCCTACCCTGAGGCAGAGCATGAGGACCCAAGACACAACACACAAGTAACACTTCCGTGATGGAGCTACACTGGGGCACACATAAGGACACTTAAATGTCACCTCAGCCCTGTGTAGCTACATAAGTCAGAGACATTAGGGCCCAGGTGACAGTATCAACTGAAAGCCCAGATATTGATATTTATGCCAGAAAGAAGAATGAGGGACTAGGTAGAGCCCATTAAAGCATCAATTATCACTTCACACGAGGTGCCTGCACATGAGGGCCCACATGGAGACAGTCAACTAAAAGAACAAACATCGGTGCCTACACAGGAAAGGGGAATGAAGGACCGTAGAGGTGATTCAGTGGTCGCTTTAGCTCTGGGTCATTACATGTAGGCAGAGATATGAAGGACTAGATGAGGACAGTGAATTGTCCACTCAGCTCTGGGGGCCTACACAGAATAAAGAAATAAGGGCCCGACTAAGGGCCACCAACTCTCTCCTCAGCTCTGGGCACCTATTATGGGTAGAGACAGGAGGTACTTGCACTGGGGCAGAAGCACAAAGGTCCATGTCATTACCACTGCCAGGCAACCCAGCGGTCAGCATCCACACTGAGGGAAGGGCAAGAGGGATCAGTTGATGGTATCAACTGTCACCTAAAGTCTGGGTGCCTGCAGGGAGGCAAGGACATGATGACTCAAGGAAAAATAGTCAACTGGAACTGGGAGCTACACTGGGACACAAGCAAGAGGCTCCAAAGAAGACATTCTCTGCCACCTCATGCTGGTCGCCTATGCCGGGGCGGGGACATGAGGACCTGTGACATGACAGTCTAATGCTCTCTATGTTCCCATTGAAAAACAGTCCCAGAGAGGGACTTTGGTCAAGATGGTGGCATAGGCAGACACGGCTTGCCTCTTTGTAAAACTGCAACCAAGATATAGTACCACCATTGCTCAGAACAATCAGAAATCAAGTTCAATGGAAGTCTGACAACTACAAAATTAAAGAAACCACATCCATCCAGAATGGGCGCAGGCACAGAACAGGCTGGTTCCAGACCCACATGTGGTGGACAAAAATTCAGGAGGGAGATCTCAGGAGCAAGGAGTCCCAGCCCCACACCAGGCCCCAGCCCAGGGTTCCAGTGCCAGGAAGATAAGTCCCCACAACTTCTACTACAAAACCAGTGGGGACTGAGTCAGTGAAAGAAACTTCTGGAGCCCCAAGCAGCTCCCCTTAAAGAACCCATGCACAGACTCACCTACTCAGACTCACTCCCTCTGAGCTCCACCACTTGGGGGTAGCAGCTTGAAAGGCACCAGTAGCATAATGGGATGAACTGAAGTGTCTGGCATCTAGGCCAGCAGAGGCCCTTGTCCCTTTTCTAAACCCTCCCCCCCACAGAGCCACACAGCCTGCAAGCTGGTGCCATATCTGAGACTCCATCAACCTGGCTAACAATGTTTGACCCACCTCAGAGATCCCCAGAGACTCCGGCCCACCCAAACAGCTTTTCTATACGAATGGCTGGTCCTGGCTCATGCTTCACAACTTCCTAAATCCTCTCAACAAGTACAACTGGCCTCAGTGAAGCCCCAGGCATGGCACCAGCAGCAGCCAGCCCAGATTCACAGCTTGGCTCCACCTGGAAATCTCCAAGCCCAGCACAAGTAACCTGCATTTATAGCTCAAGCAGGGAGGCCCCTGGTAAAACACAGGTGGGGGCTGACCTTGGCCTGTACCACCAGGAAACCCCAGGGCCAGCACACCTAGTGGACAGCTACAGACCACATGGGACCACCACCACCCTGCCTGCCCCTGCACAGCTGATTCTCCAGGGAGGACAGAGTTTGGTGGTCAGTGGTCACAGCCAGTCCTTGCAGCTGACTGGCCTGGGTACGTCCCTCCCATTGACCTGTCAACAGCGACCAAGGCTAAACTACAAGAGGAGGGGGTACTCACCTCACACAATGGGCATACCTTGAGTACCCAGCTTGGGTGATAGGGGAGGCTGTGCCACCGGCCCCTACAGGACACCTACTGTATTAAGACATGCTACCAAGACATATAGTCACAGCAGCTGTAACTAGTACATAGAAACAAACACAGGGAGGCTGCCAAAATGAGTAGACAAAGAAACATGGCCCAAATGAAAGAACAGATCAAAACTCCAGAAAAAGAACTAAATGAAATGGAGATAAGCAATCTATCAGATGCAGAGTTCAAAACGTTGGTTATTAGGATGCTCAAGGAACTCATTGGGTACTTCGACATAAAATAAAATTCTTTAAAAACAGGCACAAATAAAGTTTACACTAAGTGAAATAAAGAAAAATGTATAGGGAATCAACCATGGAGTGGAGGAAGCTGAGATTCAAGTCAATGATTTGGAACATAAGGAAGAAAAAAACACTCAATCAGAACAAGAAGAAGAAACAAAATTTCAAAAAAACGAGGATAGCCTAAGGAGCCTCTGGACCAACTTCAAACATACCAATGTTCGAATCATAGGGGTGCTGCAAGGAGAAAAGAGTAAAAATTGTAAACTTATTTGAAAAAAATACTGAAAGAAAACTTCCCTAATGTGGTGAAGGAAACAGACATGCAAGTCCGGGGAGCACAGACAGCCCCAAACAAGACGGACACAAAGAGGACCACACCCAGACATAAGCAGAGAGTTACCGACAACATAAGCAGAGAGTTACCGACAACATAAGCAGAGAGTTACCGACAACATAAGCAGAGAGTTACCGACAAGGGAGTTCCCATAACACTGTCAGCTGATTTCTCAAAAGAAACTTTGCAGCCTTCTTGTCTCTGGCTGATGGCATTCTGGTGTTTTCTCCTATATAGTCTTCTGTACCTCCATGTTTCTAAAAGGCACATAGTAAAACAAACTTTAAAACAATTTCTGCCCGGGCTGGTGGGGCTCAGTGGATTGAGCGCCTGCCCAGGAACTGGAAGGGTTCTGGTTCAATTCCCAGCCAGGGCACATGGGGGGGGGGGTGTGGACCAGGGCCCCAGTAGGGGGCATGTGAGAGGCAACCAATAGATGTATCTATTGCACATTGATGTTTCTCCCTCCCTCCCGCTCTCTAAAAATAAAAAAGTATATTCTTTTTAAAAATGAATAAATAAAATCCTAAGGGGAAAAAAATAATTACGCCCCCAAATCCCACTGCCTTTTCCTAGGCTTCGGAAATCCGACCGCAAGGTCCCAGCGTGGCCCCAGAACTCCATGCCTAGGAAGCTGGAATCCCCCACCAAAGAGGAGTGTCTGGTGGGAGACTTCTGGGGTGGAGCTCACTTACAATCAGTGGCCCGGCAGCGCGGGGCCCTCGCGGGCCCCCTCTCACCCGGTGGCTCCAGCAAACGGTGGAGGCGGGCCCTTGCGCCGGCTCCGCAGGGCCAGGGGCGGGGCCTGCGCTGCTACCCTTACCCAAACCTGGCAACGGAGAAGCGAAGCCCCAGCCAAAGGCGGGAGTGATGCCTGCGGGCTGTGGCCCCGCCCCGGGCCGCCATTGCCGGGCCTGTGGGACCAAGCTACAACAGCTCTCTGTCCTTCTTTCGCTGAGCAGACCGGCTTGATAGAGCCGTCCCCGACTGAACGCGCATCTCCCCACGGCTAGGCAAGTCTCCGGCCGGCCCAACCCGCGTCGGCGGCCCCTGGACCGGGAGGGGCCGCCTGAGCTCGGGGCCTCCCACGGGAGGGCCCGGCGTCCAGGAGAACTCAGTCTCAGAGGCTCCCCTGGGCACGATCAACCTTGAGCCAACTGGTTCCCGAGGCCCCTTCCTGTGCCCGCAATGCCTCTTTCCGCGTTCCAGAGGAGCCTGGCCAGGTGGCTGGACGTACAAGTCGGTGCACACATCGCGCCCGTACCCGCAGCACTGGCTTATCCCTGACCCCCACCCAAACCTGCTCTTCTGCTTTGTTGCCTCCAGAGCTCACGGTCCCCAAACAGTTCACCTGCCGGCGGCCCCAACCCAGCGGGAGAAGTGGACATGAGGTTGGCAGGTGGGTGGCTTCCACAGTAAACGGGAGGAAGTTGGAAAGGGGACCCTCCTGGAGGCCCAGGTGACCACTGGGTTTCCTTTGGCAAACGGCGGACTATGCACAAAGACTCATTCTGTGACCTTGAACAAATCCTTTCGCTTCCGAGGATTTCAGCTCCCCAAACTGTGAGATGAGGATTAGGATAGTGAATTTCTACCAACTCAGGTAACTGGACGCTGTTTGAAAATTGAGTTGTGAAAGAGAGACTCCGTGGACTATGGGGGCTGGGTGGAGAGGCAGTGGTCCTAAAGGAGAAACTGACCAAAGTGGCTGTGAGTTTCTCAGTTGGACAACAAAGATAAAGATGGATTTCGGGGGTTGGGGGGGTGGAGAACAGAACTCAAGAATTGGAGTTGCGACCTGTGAAGGTTGCAGCGTTATGAATGTATTTCACTGGAGCCGGCCAGTGAGAAACGGGCTGGGAGGGCGCAGCCTCAAGGCTAGGGCAGGAAAGCAGAGAGCCGCTGCTCCTTGTGGGTGATTCAAGCCCAGGGGTAGATGAGAGCACCTATAAGGAGGGTAGGAGAAGGAGAGTCAGGTATAGGCAGAGAAGGCAGGTGGCCTGGGACAGAAGCCAGGGAAAGTCTAACTTTTCAGGGGAGCATAGAGGAGGACAATCTGAGCAAGGAGAATGAGGAGTGTCCAGAGACTGTCATTCTGGGCAGTCAGCTGAGGGGTGGAGGAAGATCAGGGCTGAGAGGTGACCTGGGGAGCTCACACCAGGAAGGTCATAGGCAGCCTTGGCAATAAGCTGGGTTTTTTTAAAATCCTCACCTGAGGATGTGTTTATTGATTTTGACAGGGGAAGGGAGAGAAACACATCCATGTGAGAGAGAGATATCTATTGGTTGCCTTCCGTACATGCCCCATCCAGGATCGAACTCACAACCTAGGTATATGCTCTGACTCAGAATGGAACCCACAGCCTCTTGGTGGATGGGACAATGTTCCAACCTGCTGAGCCACCCAGCCAGGGTGGCAACAAACTGTTTTGGTAGGGTTATGAAGGCAAGACTGTATTGGAGTAGGTTGTGAGAGAGTGGAAGAGCCACTCTGTGGAGAAAGAGCCACTGTAAATGCTTTGAAGGAGCTGATGGGGAAGAGGAAGGATAGAAAGAGATCAGTGCTTCAGTGGGATGCAATTCTGAAGGAGGGCTTTTCCTTCTATGTTCTTTTTAACATTTTTTTAAAGAGTTTTTTAAATTTATTTTTTGGAGAGAGGGGAAGGAAAGGAGAAAGAGAGGGGAGAGGAACATCAATATGTGGTTGCCTCTCACATGCCCCCTACTGGGGACCTGACTCACAACCCAGTCATGTGCCCTGACAATCGAAACCGGTAACCTTTCCATTCACAAGATCATGCCCAACCCACTGAGCCACTCCGGTCAGGGATTCTGTGCTTTGTTATGAAGAAAGGTCACATGTTGAAAATAGAAGAGATAGACTGAGATAGAATGGTTGATGTTACAAGAAACCTGAGCAGGGAGGAGAGCTCGGGGTCTAAGTCATGGCAGGTGAAGGGGCTGTTCTTCAAAAGCAGTAGGGACCTCCTCAGTCATAACAGGAGAAAAGAGGACATAATGGGTGAAACACAAGTATCGGAAGCCTCAGAGGCAGGAAGTTAGGAGGCTCCTGGGGGAGCACTGGAGCCCCCTTGAGCAGTGAATTCTGAAAGGCTGCTCCATGTGTGCCAGGGAGAACCAAGCCGAGAGCCTTAGAGGTGGAACTGTTTCCTTCTTCCATCTGCCAGGAGCTCGAGTCCCTGGCTCCTGCTTGGTGGATGGCAACAGGTCTCCCCCTTCATTTCCTCTGATCCCTCCTTCCCAAGTGGATGGGGAGATTTGGCCATAAGAGACCATAGGGTCTTTGGGGAGCTTGCTGGCATCTGCAGTGGCCTTCTCTTGTCTGTCCTGCCTCCAGGTCCCCTCCGCATCATTGTCCTGGTTGTGACTGTGGGCCTCACGTGGATCGTAGTCAGCATCCTCCTGGGTGGGCCTGGCAGTGGCTTTCCTCGAATCCAGCAGCTCTTCACCAGTGAGTGTGGGACCCTTCCTTGCCCTGCCACCGAAGTCCCCAGGACAGCCAGCCACCTGGGTCTGTGGGCTGAGGCTCAGGGTAGGGGTGGGGGGAGCCTGGGTTTTCTTTCCCTTCCCTGAAGGCCACCTCTAGGTGCCCTCAGTCCGTCTCCTGGCACCCAGTGCAGCTGGGAAGATGCTTTAGCTGGGAAGCCAATCTCTGCTAATTAGAATTCTGAGCCCATTTGCATTGGGTGGGACCTAAGTGAGAGGCAGGGGGACTTCTGCTGAACGTTGGGGCTGACATCCTGGTTGCTCCCTGCAGGCTTTCCACCGAGCTTTAAGATAGGGAGGGGATCCTACAGCTTGTCCCTGGTGATGGGCCACCTGAGTAACTCTTTACAATTCCAATTTACCCGGTTCTTGGATCAGGGAGCTTTGCATAGGAACATCATTTAGACTTGAGCAGGGACATGGTATGATATGCCTGGCTTAGCCCTTGGCCTCTGAGTCTGCTGCTCTGCCACCTTAACTGCACAGTGCAGGCCAGGCTGCCCTGCTGTGGGCCCCAGGGGGCCTCCACACTAACAGAAACAATGCTCTGTACCCACAGGCCCAGAGAACTCCGTGACTGCAGGTAAGGCCCCTGTCCCCTCCCTGCTCTTCCTCATACTGTTTATGGGGTACCCCTGCCTGGCCCTAGTTCTTCAGGGTTTCTATCCTCCATTTGTCTCTCCTCCAACTGGACCACACAGCCTGCCGCCTGCATGTGTGAACCTAGAATACAAGTTACCCGCTTCCAGAATACTCTCGTAGGACAGGAATATGACAGGCATTCCCATTCCAAAAGGGAAATATTGCAAGGAACAAAGGAGCCACCAGTCTCAAGCAAGTCCAAAACCCAGCAGGGGAAATGCCATTAAGTTTCAAGGGCTCTGAAGGATCCTCTGTGGCCCAATGCTCTGTCCTCTGGGCCCCCCAGTAGGGGGCGGGGGCATCTGGAAAAAAGGGGATGGGCCTAGCCTCTGGGCCTGGGTTATTTCTGGCCTCAGCAGCCACCCTCTGTCCATAGAGCCATCCTTCCTTCCATCCTTTCTCCGTCCCCTTCAGTTCAGGCCGGCAGTGTTTCTGCTTTTATTTTTTATTTTTTGTAATATTTTATTTATTTTAGAGGGGAAGGGAAGGAGAGAGGGAGAAAAACATCAATGTATGGTTGCCTTTCATGCGTCCCCTGCTGGGAACTGGCCTGCAGGGAACTGGTCTGCAACCCAGGCATGTGCCCCGACTGGGAATCAAACCGTGATTGTCTGGTTTGCAGGCCCGCGCTCAATCCACTGAGCTACACCAGCCAGGGCTTGTTTCTGCTTTTATAAAATTCTCAAAAACCCATGTTGGTCTCCTGTAGACTTCATGGACAGTAGGATCCTCCAGATCTCTCTCGGGTAACCTCCTGGCTTCTTCTGGCATAGTCAAGTGGATCTGCATGTCAGCTCAGCTCTCGGAGAACAGTTGTCTGGCCACGCCCCTGCTGTTCTCTCTAGAGCATGCTTTCTCCTTAGGCTGAGAATTCCCCCAAATGTTCACGTTCTGGTTCCTTTATGCTTAATAATTCCTTTTCCACTTTGCTCTCTCCTTTCACATTTTACTATGACACGGGTCCAGGGAAACCAGGCCCTGCCCTCAACACTTGGCTTATAAATCTCAGTGAAATACCCAAGTTCAGCAGTTACAAGTTCTGCCCTTCCCCCAGCACACTGGGACACAATTCAGCCAAATCCTTTGTCACTCCATGACAAGGATGGTCTTGCCTCCAGCGTCCAATATCATGTTGCCCATTTCCTCCTGAGATCTCACCAGAACAGCCTTTAGCGTTCACGTTTCTGGCAACATTCCGGTCATCATTACATATGTACCCCCAAGACGACAGAGGTTTTCCCTAGTTTTCTTCCGTGTTTCTGAGCCCTCACCACCATCCCCTTTAACACCTATGTTTCTCCTAGTAGTCTCTTCAAGGCAATCTAGGCCTTTTCCAACATGCTCCTCAGAATTCCACAGCTTCTACACATTACCCAGTTCCAAGGCCATGCCCACATTTTCAGGGGGTTGTTACAGTAGCACTCCACTTTCTGGGGTCAAAATCTGTATCAGTGTCCTCGGGCGGCCACACTCTCCAAGGCTCTAGGGGAGGGTCCTTCCTGCCTCTCCCAGTTTCTGGTGGCCCCACATGTTCCTTGGGTTCATGGCTGCATCATTCCAGCTTCTGCCTCCTCCGTCTTCGTATGGCCTCCTCCATGTCTGTGTCTTCTCTTCTGTCTCTTTTTTGGGTTTTGTTTTGTTTTGGTTTTGTTTTTAAGATTTTATGTATTTATCTAGAGACAGGGGAAGGGAGGGAGAAAGAAAAGGAGAGAAACATCAATGTGTGGTTGCCTCTACCACGTGGCCCCTCTACTGGGGACCTGGCCCACAGCCCAGGCATGTGCCCTGAATGGGAATCAGACTGGCCACCCTTTGGTTTGCAGGCGGCTGCTCAACCCACTGAGCCGCACCAGCCAGGGTTGTCTCTTCTGTCTCTTATAAGGATACTTGTCATTGGATTGAGTGCCACCCTACTTTAAAATGATCTTATCTTAGCCCTGGCTGGTGTAGCTCAGTGGATTGAGCGTGGGCCTGTGAACCAGACAATGGCGGTTCGATTCCCAGTCAGGGCACATACCGGGGTTGCAGGCCAGTTCCCTGCAGGCCAGTTCCCAGCAGGGGACACGGAAAGCAACCATACATTGATGTTTCTCTCCCTTTCTCCTTCCTTTCCCCTCTAAAGATAAATAAATGAAATCTTAAAAAAAAATGATCTGATCTTAATGAGTTATATCTTTAATGACCCTGTTCCCAAATAGGGTAACATTATTAGATACTGGGAGTTAGAGCATCAACAAATCTTTTGTGGGGACACAATACAACCCGTGACAGAGGCTGGCTTCCTCCTGTCCTTTCACCTCCACCCCGAGGGAACCGGTGCTCCCTCTGTTACCACTTTCCTGCGGTGTGTTCTGGATACTCGTCCATGCACTTGTCCATGCACTTGTCCTCCAGGCACTTGCCCTCCAGGCTGCTCGTCCATGCACTTGCCCTCCAGGCTGCTCTTTTATCTTCTGTGACCTGTGGCAGAAAAGCTTCCCTGGGGCCCTTGTCACCTTGCCCTGAGTGTCAATAGAAGTGTCCCTGGCCTGAGCAATTTCCCCTTGAGGCACTGGTCCCCTGCTCTGTGATCACTCATTCGTCCCTGTGGGCTGGTCCTGACCTTACCCTCTCAGACTTCAAGTGACCACAGGGCCAGGCCCACGGTCATCCCTGCTGTCCCCACCCAGAGCCGAGGGCCAAGAAGTATAAGTGCGGCCTGCCCCAGCCATGCCCTGAAGAGCACCTGGCCTTCCGCATGGTCAGCGGGGCTGCCAATGTCATCGGACCCAAGATCTGCCTCGAGGACAAGATGTGAGCTTCTTGGGGAGTACGGGTGGGGTGGGGGAGGGGAGGGGGGATTGGAAGCTGGGTCTGCAAGGGCAGATGATCGGAGCAGATGTGCCATTTGAGAGCTGTCTCCTTGCCAGGCTCATGAGCAGCGTCAAGGACAATGTGGGCCGCGGACTGAACATTGCCCTGGTGAATGGTGAGTTCCCTGTGATGTAGGGTCACAGTTTGGTTCAGGACAGTGGAACCCTGCTGTGACCTTTCCGTCCAGAATTCCTAGGGAGGGGGTAGAAAGGGTCCACGCTGGCTGAAGTCTCCACAGAAAGCGACTCAGTGAATGAAAGCTTGGGAGCAGTACAGAATCAGAAGTTCCCAGGAAGTTGAAGGGTGCTTTGTGGGGGGGCCCTTGGAGGGACTCAAATGCCAGGCAGAAGCTCTGCAGCCTTGGGTGGGCTGCAGCTGTCTGAATAAGGAACACAGTTGGCATGGATATGGGGGGAGATTTGAAAGCTTCTAGAAGGGCTGCACCCAGTGGCCGTGGCCATGCCATGAGCCTGGTCTGGGAGGACTGAGGTGGTAGGGTAGAATTGCCCTGGTAGCCTGCCCAGCAAGATCCCTGTCCTCCCTCTTGACCCAGGGGTCAGCGGTGAGCTCATCGAGGCCCGGGCCTTCGACATGTGGGCAGGAGGTGAGTGGCTGCCGCGGCCTCCCACTTTGTGACTGTGCGGCAGAGTGACCAGGTGTCCTTCTCCCGAAACACTGCTCTTTCTCTGTCCATTCGCTGGGGGCTTCTCGAGTACTTCCTTGGGCTCAGAAAAGGCAGGGGGATGGACAGGTATGTCATCATGGGGAGTTCCCTGGCCAGTTTGTCCCTGCACCCACTTGGTGACCCTTAATGGGGTGTGTCCCTGGCCTGATCCCTGCTTTAAGTGTCCTCGTTTGGAGAACAGGGGATGGTGGGGAAGGGATGTTCAGTGATGCCTGCTGCTTCATGTTCAACGGAACCTGTGCTCCCAGATGTCAATGAGCTACTGAAGTTTATTCGGCCTCTGCATGAAGGCACTCTGGTGTTCGTGGCGTCCTATGATGACCCAGCCACCAAGTAAGTGATTGACCGGGCAGACCTCAGCCTCACCCTCCTATGGCGAGTGCTCACATCTCTTCCTTCTGTGTGGCAGGATGAATGAAGAGACCAGGAAGCTTTTCAGCGATCTGGGCAGCAAGAACGTCAGGGACCTGGCCTTTCGGGACAGCTGGGTGTTTGTGGGCGCCAAGGGTGTGCAGAACAAGAGCCCCTTTGAACAGGTATGGGTGGAAAGCCTGGCACCTCCGCTTCCCAGCTCAGGGCAGTTGGCCCAGCCCTTCTGCCTGCTTCCTGTGAGGTCCCCATCCGTTCGTGCTGCAGCCTCCCCTGAATTCTGCCCCAGCGTCCACACCCAGGGCAGCCCTAGCCCCCTCCCAGTCTGCCCAGGGAGGGCGGCAACATGGACGTTCCCTGTCCTGTATGGCTTTCACCCTAAAGGGGCTTTAAATGGCAAAGCTTTCACAATGGCAAGACTCCCAGCTAAGAAACTTTCCTCCCAAATCTCTACCTCTTAAAGAAGCTCGGTCCTGTCCCAGTGCCTCCCCAAACCTAAGACCCCCCCGTTCACACTGCATGCCCTTCCCCCAGCAGCCCTGGCTGCCATCTGGCCAGCTGTTCCTCTGGGGCCCACACGTGTCAGGCCCCATGTGAGGGGCTGGTAAGCCCCAGGTGCCGGTAAGCCCCAGGTGCCATCCTCATCTTTGGGAGGCTCCGAGCTCTGTAAAAGCCACGTTGTCCCCAAGACCTGCTCCCCACAGCGGGACAAGAACAACAGGCTGTTTCAGTGGTGTCTGCAAGGTTCTGGCTGCCAAAAGAGCAGCTTAGCCCCCAGAGAAGACATACCCCTCTGCCCTTGCTCTTGTAGCTTCCAGCATCTCCGCGTGGGCTGGGTGAAGGCGGAGACAAACGGACTCCCTCCTTGCCTTCCCAGTGTGTGCCAGGCCCGCACAAGTGCGGAGCAGATGACTGCCCTCACTCCACCTGTGAGCAGGCGGGCCCGTGCAGCGGTTGCCATTTTAGATGAGAAAATCAAGGTGCTGGGACAGACAGGGGGCGAGTGCCCCGAGAATGCAGGGTTGGTTGCCACCACCACAAAGGGACTGACGGCTCTGTCTCCCGTGCCTGAGGCAGTGACTTCCTGCTCCCTGCCCCCGCAGCACGTGAAGAACAGTAGACACACCAATAAGTATGAAGGCTGGCCCGAGGCACTGGAGATGGAAGGCTGCATCCCTAGGAGAACCACAGCCAGCTAGCCAGCTGAGCCCAAGCACCAAGCTGAGGGAGGCTGCGCGTGCCCGGCCCAGGAGGAGGCAGCGGCAGTGCCAGCGAAGAGCTGAGTTCCAGCCCCACACCTGGCCAGGAGTGTTTTCTTGCATCGGCACCTCTGGGCTCTAAGGCGGTGACCAGTGTGTGACTGGCGGTGGGGACTGCAATAACCAGCCTCATCGTGATTTGTCAGGAGAGCCCAGGTACCCATCTCCTTCCTTTCCTAAAGCTGCTTTCCCTAGTCAGCTCCCACCCAGTTCCCAAGCATCCCCAGGCACAAGACCCTGGGTGCTTTTGCCCCCTCAAAGCTGATTGGGCATCGCCCAGAACCTCTCTGCCCCAGAGCTGCTCACTGCTCTGCAGGCTCATCCAGTGTGATTCCTTCTGCTGAGCCACACCTGGCGGCTGCGGCAAGGGACCTGGCTGCCTCCTGCCCCATTCTCTGCAGGAAGGGGCCGCCTTAGAGCTTGGTTGGCGGGGCAGTTGCAGTCCCTACTGCAATGCGAGGCAGCTCCTGCAGTTTGTCGGAGGGCCCGCCTTCCAGATGACCTCTTAATAAATTGGTGCCCTCCAGTGGAATGAAGTGCATTCACCATGGAGTCCGGAGTGATATTGTCCTTGGGGGAAGGGACATGTCCCGGAGGTTCGGCCAACCTACCCCCGCAGCCTCAGCACATGGCTTTTGGCTCCAAGCCTCCTGCCACAGACGGGTCCTGCTATGGCTGAGCTGTGACTCAGGTGGTGAGCAGAGCAGCTCCGCAGCTGGCAGCCCCATCTCCTTGCCTGGGAGAGACAGTTCCGCCCTCCTGGGGCTGCAGGAAACCCACGGACTCCCTCCAACACAGCACAACCTGTCAGGACCCAGATGGGGATTAAAACCAGTCCAGGTGCCTCCCCAGCCCACCCAGGCTTCCTGAGCCTCCCTGAGAGCTAGTGTGTCTCTCCAAAGCACTCATCTTCGGATGCCTTTGAAATCAGGACTGCGAAGGGCAGGGTCACGTGGCCTGCTGGCATTTCTCACAGATTTGTTATCTTTCCCTTCACTGAATGAGAACCAGCAGAAACTATCAGGAATTTTGCTGGAATACCACATCTGGGGGTGCAGCAGTGGTCTGGGGTCAGAAAAAGAGAAGGCATTTTGGATTCCCCGCATGGGAGGAATTAGTGTACCAGCCAGACAGCTTCGAGGGGGCTGTGGTGGGGACAATGGACTGTTCTGGAGCCTCAGGAAGGCAGAGGCTTCCTGAGCCCCTGCCTTCTGGGACTTAAGTGCTGCCAGAGTACAGGCAAAGTGTCAAGAGATGAAAGGTGTAAGGCGCAGGCAGAAGAGGAGGGAGAGGCCCCGGGACAGCACAGGAAGGAGAGGCTTCAGTTGTGATGCCAGGACAGGGAAGGGTCAGAGAAGTGGAGACCCGAGGAAGGTCCAGCTTGCCCAGGAGATGGTGATCATGGGAGCTGACACCCAGCCTGACCCTGTGCCAAGCAGTTTATGTGCATTCATGTTTTAGGAGGCTTTCTTTTTTTAGAGAGTTTTAGGTTCACAGCAAAGTAGAGCACAAAGTACAGAGAATTCATTCTTATGTACATACCCACTAACACCTCATCATCACCCAAGGCTCAAGGACATCAGGGTTCCCCCTTGTGTGGTAGTCTGCAGGTTTGACAAACGTATATAGTGATATGTATCTACCATTGGAGTATCATACATGTATTCATTTTGTAAACCTTGTATGATGGAAATTTTCAAAGGGCCCCCAAAGTAGTGAGAAGAGTATAAAGGAACCCCGGTGTACCCATTGGGGCTATCACGAGGATCACATGGGATGGAGCCTCACTGCAGGCCCGTACTGCAAGGCTGGGAGGTGTGTAGACCCCTCCGTGCCTCTCAAACAACTGCTGCGACTGCCTGACCTTCCCCATTCACCAAATGCCTTTCCTGTACCAGGCACTGTTAAATGCGGGCTTGTGCCCCAGCGGCAGCTGCTAGCTAACTACTCAGGGGGCTATGCCCTCACTGGGGGTTGCCACAGTCACACAGGTAGAAAGAGCAGGCCAGATTTATGCCCCACTTGGCCTCTCACAGGCTAGAAGCCGATGGTAGTGTGGAGCAAGCCTGCCTGACTTTACAAAGCAGAGGTCCAGCTTTAGCCTGCAGTCTTTCTCAGCCAGGGTGCCACCCGCTGCCTCCTCAGCCCTACCCTTTAGGAGTTATAACTTTCTCAGTTACAAGTACCAGAATTCCATCTCAAACTGGCATAAGCAAAAATAAGTAATAACAGCAGGCAGATTTACTGTGCCCGTACTGGACCGCAGAGCCCACGGGTGATTCTAGCACTAATAATGTCATCAGGACACAGGCTCTCTCCATCTCTTTGCTCTGCTTTTCTTTGTATTTGATTCCTTGTCAAACATGCTGTTTCCACCAGGTAGGGGAGGCAACCCCAGCCAAAAAAGACCTTTTGGCTTTGCCAGTAGTTCCAGTACTTGTCCCTGAGGACCTTCATAGCTCCAGACTAGACTATGGGTTTATCTTTGCATCAGTCTGCCTGGCTCTGATTGGCTGGACCTGGGCACGTGCCTACTCCAGAGGCCAGTGGGGGGGGGGGGTCATCCACAGGCAAACCTTTCCTACCAGGAGTGGAGGAGAGATGGTTTTCCCAAAAGAAATTGAGGGGCTGCAACCTGATGCTGGGTAGGCACTACACTTCCCTGTAAATATCAAATATATCCCATCATTGTTCTTGTTTAGAATATGACTTCCATGCATGCTTATTTATCACAGTTTTTCTGTAGGCCCCTGCCTGGAGAGGTAGGCATTCCTCTCACGTTAGGGTCACAGTGGTGACCCTATTAATAATATGGCATGTCTCCCATCTGAAGTGTGTTTGTGTTGTTTTGGCTGTCACCATAATGTGTTCTATCTGTCCTCTCAGTCCAGATGACTTCTCTTTCGAAACTAAATACCTTTGACTGATGTGCAGAGCCCTTCCTCCTCTGCTGGGGTAGATCAGTTCTTTAAATACGAACATCCTCTTGCCTTTAATTTAGCCATCCCTTTTTCCTGCAGGGAAGGCCTCCAAATCCCCTCACATCAGACACCCCAGCAGCCCACTCTCGCTTTTCAGGGAAGGTTGATGATATTGGGGAGCTGCCTGCTGACTGCATTTGCTCTCCTTAACCCTGGCACCAGTTCCCATTCAGTTAGGAACTGGTTTTCCTTCAAGAAGGACACATCTTTTAGGTTTTCCTTCCCCTGATTGTCCACCCATTCTCCTTATCCCTCTGGCCAGCTTTACACTGTCCTCAGACAGCCCCACCCCCACCCTCACTTCTGCAAACCGCAGTCTTCAACGCAGCATGTGCCAAGCCCAGCCCTCTCATGTGTGCCAACCTGCTGCCTTCAGTACCGCACTTGAGAGGGGCAGTTGCAAACGTTCCGGGGCACCACATCCACACACAGATGGCTTACCCCTTACTGGCCTTCTGAGGCTAGAGCTATGGCCTTGAGTGTTTAGGATCACCCACATAAATCAAACCCTCTTGAGCATGCAACCCCACCATGGGTATTTCTACACACATATCCTATGCATGTATTTAAATAAGTTTAACAAAACTACAGATGATCTCGTTTACACATTCTGAATGGCGTGCACCTCGTGGTGCAAGTACCTGTAACTTTAGCGACCACAGCCTCCATCACAGCTGTGACAAGAGGTTCTTCCCAAGCAGTGGGTTGCCAGTGACCCGCTGGCAGACTGAAAGTAACTGCCCTGAAGTCTTAAGGAACAAGCACTTGGCCTTCGACTCTGCACTTGTTTACTGTATTCCCAAGTCCTTTCTACACCCTCACCACCTTTCCGCCCATCCGTATGCCATCTATTTGCGTTTCTTTGCTGTGAATCCTCTGGACCTTGCTGGTAGTGCCAAACAGTGTTAAGAGGTGGACAGGTCCACTGATGTTCCAGTGTGGAAATAGACGCTCAGTCAATGCTTGAACGAAGGAAGGTGAAATTAGGTCGAACCTGGGACCCTGTGTCCAGGTTGGTCGGACTCGGACCTCAGACTACAAGGTGGGCGCCCGGACAAGGAATGTGGCAGAAACCGTGGTCCCGGGAACCCCAGCTCCGCTAACAGCGAAACCTCTCTCCGACCGCCCCCAAGGGTAGTAGCGTGTATGAGAATGACTGGGGCGCCTAACCGGAAAGGGTCGCCCCGCCGGCGATCAGAGATGACACACTGGGCTCGCGCGCCGCACAGGACCAACCGGCAGCGGCCAGCTGCGACCCGGAAGGCAGCCAGGTCGTCGCTCCCATATGCGTCACGTCCGGTGGGAACAAGCCCCGGGGGGCCGCCGCGGGAATGGGGGGCGGGGCCTTGGGCGGGTCTGAGGCGGGGCCTTGGTGGGCGGGCCCGGCTCCAGAGGGCCGAGCTCGCAATCGTCCGCCAGCGGGGCGGGCTCTGGCGCTGTAGCCGAGCTTCGGGGCTGTGGCGGCAGGTGAGAAAGGGCGGGCAGAAGGCTACTTCTGGCCCCGACCCGGTTCCGCGCTCAGTCCAGGTAGCCGACCTGACATGGAAGGACCGCCGCTCCCGTGTTCGTGAGGCCTGGCGCTGCTGCGAGACCTGGGAGTGGCGTGAGGGGTCCCCTCGCTGCGATCCCGGTACCACCTGGGCGGGTCGCCGGTCTGTCAGCTGCGGCGTAGCAGCGCAAGCCCGGCAGCGGCGTTTCACTCCCTCGTCCTTCCCTCTCTCCCGGGTCTGCGCTTGAGCTCTGCTTGTTCCCCAAGCTGACAACTTCTAGACTCCCAGCTAGGGAGAAGCCCTGGGTCAGCACTGCCAACTGCCCTAACACCTAACACTCGGCCGGTGTGGGAAAAAGGCTGCTAGCTCGGGGTTCTCTTCCCTGCCTTGGGGTACATCTGCTCAAATTCTTCCTGCCCTTCAAGCAGAAGTGGCGTGGGATCTGGGCCAGAACCCTCTTGCAGTGAGTCAAATCTGCCCACCTTACTGGAAAAACAGAGTGAATGGTCCTTAGCCTTCTCTCCTTTCTGAACTGATTCTCGCCACCCCTGTGGTTTCAGTCTCGGGTGCCTTCATCTTTTCCTTGTGATCCCCCTCTACTTTGCTCCTCATATACTCCCTCTGGTTTTCCTGCCTCCCTCTTCAGCGGTGGGACGCAAGGCTGGACCAAAACCTCCAGGGTAAGTGACCTAAACTTCAAACCAGCAGAAGCTATGGCTTCCCAGGTCTGTAGGGGGAAGACTTTCCAACGGATGAGTCTTTTGCTTAACCTACCTTCCACCCTCTAATTCCCACACTCCCCAGTCTCAGATGAGGGAGACCAGGGCCAAAGAACAATAGGATCTAGAGGGCAGGGGCCTCTTCCAGGACTGGGACACTGCAGGCATGGAGCAATCAACAGTAGTGATGAAAAACCACTGTGTCCCCATTCTGGTTGCCCCAGTTCCAGCAGGTGATGTGCCAATAGGGAGGTGGCCACCCAAATAGAGAAATGGAAGGAGACGGACCTTTTTCTTTCATACCGAGGCACCCCATTCCCACCTAGAAAAACTCTTAGTCCCACTGAGAGTTCCAGGCTATGGTCGGATGGCATGTGGATGTGGGGAAGAGCCCCTGGACTCCAAGCAGACCCCTCAGATGTGACACAGTGGCTCCCGGATTGCCAGAGGAGCGGAAGCTCTGGCAGGAGGAAAAGCCCCCACAGCAGACAGGTGGCCCTGTCTGACCCCTCCTGCTGCTGCTTCCAACAACTTCCCTGGGGAGGGGGGGCCTGTACTCCCCCAGCATCCCCATCACACCCCTGTCAGCGGGTAGGGTAGGTGAGATGGCCACCGCAACAGTGTTTACAACTGCATGTTGGTTGTGGACATCAGCCCTTGGGGCCTTTGGCTGATGGTCACACGCTGCCCACACCACTTTGCTGCTTGCTTTTTGCCTAACAGGTGACACCCACACACCCTAACCTGCTCTCTGATGGCCTCTCAGATATGGCCTGAGCCAGCATTTCTCATCGACACCCTTTCTCTCCACAGGCTTGTCTCCCTGCACAAGCTTCCAGAGAGTTCATTCTAGTTGTAGCACTGCTGCAGACCCTTTGTGGCTGTGTCTTGAAGCCAGTGGGAGTCAGGCTTGTGGTGACAGGATTGAGGGTGGCTCTTCCAAATCCCTTCATAGCAGGACATCTCCTCAGGGTCACAGTGCTTGAGCAAGCCCAAGGAAATCAGCAGGTATGGGCAGTCTGACCAGGAACTCCCACCTGTAGGCGGCCCCTCTGGGTGAGGGATGGCAAGCTTGAGGCAGTTGTGCTGGGGGATGGGATAACTGAATGGCACTCAAGGCCCTGCTGAGTCTCTCAGCGGTGGACTTCCAGGTCCTTATGTTCTGAGTTCACCAATACTCACCCTCACCAGCCACCTCCCTGTGTTCCTTCTCTCCTCAGGACAAGCTCTGCCATCAAGGAAAGCAGCACAGGGCCAGCCCTCGCCCATGGACCCTTCTCAGGACAACCCAAAGGCACCAGTGAGGCTGTTCTCCTAAGCCACACAGGGCCTGGGCACACCATCCTCCGGGAGGAGCCATGGTGTTTAGAAGGGGCAGCTCCCAGCCGTGGTGTGGACCAGGAGGGGACAGCGGTTGCATAGGCACCCTGGGCATGCTCAGGGCTGCCCTGCTGCTTGTCAGCCTGCTGTGGGGGGCCCAGGGAACAGCTAGTACCAACCTCAGCACAGCTCTGGGCCATCCTGGGCCACGGCCAGGGGGCCGCTACTTGAGCATTGGGGATGGCTCTGTGGTGGAGTTTGAGTTCCCAGAGAATAGTGAGGGCATTATCGTGATCTCAAGTCAGTACCAAGGCCAAAGCAATGTGTCAGGGCCCGGTCCCACACTGAGAGTTACCTCCTTGGACACAGAGGTGCTGATCATCCAGAATGTGAGTGCCATAACCTGGGGCATTGGAGGTGGCTTTGTGGTGAGCATCCACTCAGGCCTGCCTGGGCTAGCCCCACTGCACATCCAGCTTGTGGACCCCCATGAGGGCCCACCCATGCTGATTGAGGAGCGGAGAGATTTCTGCATTAAGGTCTCACCCGCCGAAGACACTCCCACCACCGTTGGCACTGACCTTGCTCACTTCTCGGAGAATCCCATACTCTACTTGCTCCTGCCTCTTATCTTTGTCAACAAGTGTTCATTTGGGTGCAAAGTGGAGCTCCAGGTTCTGAAGGGGTTCCTGCAGAGCCCCCAGCCCATGCTGCTGGGCCTGCTGGGCCAGTTTCTGGTCATGCCTTTCTATGCTTTCCTGATGGCCAAGGTCTTCATGCTGCCAAAGGCCCTGGCTCTGGGCCTCATCATCACCTGCTCGTCACCTGGTGGCGGAGGGAGCTACCTCTTTAGTCTCCTCCTTGGAGGGGATGTCACCCTGGCCATCTCCATGACTTTCATCTCCACAGTGGCTGCCACTGGTTTCCTGCCACTGTCCTCAGCTGTCTACAGCCACCTGCTCAGCATCCACGAAACACTCCATGTGCCCATCTCCAAGATCCTGGGGAGCCTGCTGTTTATTGCCATCCCCATCATAGTAGGTGTGCTGATCAAGTCCAAGCTCCCCAAGCTCTCTCAGCTGCTGCTGCAGGTCATTAAGCCCTTCAGCTTTGTGCTGCTCCTGGGTGGCCTCTTCCTGGCCTACCGCATGGGGATCTTCATCCTGGCAGGCGTCAGGCTGCCTATTGTGCTGGTGGGCCTCACTGTGCCCCTGGTTGGCCTCCTGGTGGGCTACTGCCTGGCCACATGCCTGAAGCTGCCAGTGGCCCAGCGGAGGACAGTAAGCATTGAAGTTGGGGTCCAGAACAGCCTGCTGGCCTTGGCCATGCTGCAGCTGTCCCTCCGCCGCCTTCAAGCCGACTATGCTTCTCAGGCCCCCTTCCTTGTGGCACTGAGCGGCACCTCGGAGATGCTGGCCTTGGTTATTGGCCACTCCATCTACAGCAGCCTGTGCCCAGGTCCCTGAGGCCCCTGGGTCAAGCATTTGCCACTCCTTGCCCCCACCCTACACCCACTGTCCCCACGGTTCTTGTGTACCAAAGGCCTTTAGTTCTCATGCACTATGCACTCAGAAAAATCCAGGCTTATTTTTGTTACTGGTTTTTTATTCTCCAGCTTTCAGTGCCCAAGAGGCCATGCTAAGTTGGGTATGTGGGCACTGCCCAGAAAATATATTTGAATAAAAGAGAAGCAAACTTGGGTCTCTTCCAGTCTTTGCTGTTTGGGGTCTGACAGTGGAGGTAGGAAGGGTGTTCACTGGGTAGGTGTGGGCCAGGGTGGAGGACTGACTTGGGTGACATGGTGACCTCTGCACAGACTTTCTCTCTTAGCCCTCCTTCCCCATGCATCCCCTCTCTGTGAGAGGTGGGCCTCTGTTCTAGAATGAGCTGTAGGAGGATGCCGGCTACCCTGCGCTCCCAAGTTCAACCGGCTTTCCACAGCCAGACCAGAAAGGAGAAGGCAGAAGGCCTGTGGCCAATGCTGCAAGCCTGTCAGGGTGGGGCCCTTTGTGGACTCCGGAGAGACGGACTCGGGACAGCAAGGACCTACTTCACCAGCTGGAAACTGGGCGGGCCAGGCCGTCGGCGGGGCGGGGCCAGCAGACTCCCAGCCCTCCCTCCTCCCTAACCCCGCTCTCAAATGAAGCCCACCTGGCCCGGCTCGATCCCCCTCCCTATCCTGGAGGGCGCCTCTACACCGTCGCAGTGGTGGACTTGTCACCCTGGGCGGTCCCCGTGCGATTACAAAGTGGAACCCCAAGGAGATCCCCCCCCATCCAGGGGCCACGGGGCCGGGGGCCGGAGGCGGGGCCAGGGGAAGCCACACCCCTCTCGCCCCTTCCGGCTGTGGCGGGCGGTTCCGGCGCGCGCCCGGGGCGGCGGTACGCCGGCGTGCGGCTTTTTAGGGTGCGCGTCGGCCTGAGTGGATGCCGTGGCGGCCGCCATGCAGCTGACGGTGAAGGCGCTCCAGGGCCGTGAGTGCAGCCTACAGGTAGCGTCACCAGGCTCGGGCGGTGAGCCGGCTCGCTCATGTCCCCCCCCCCTTGTCAGGCGCAGGGCTGGGGTGAGGGTGGGTACAGGACTGGCGGACCAGCCCCTCCGGGAAAGCCAGGAGAGCTGCCCACAGCCGGGGCTGCAGGCTCAACCCCTGCTCCCGTCCTCGGCCTGACCAGGTGTCGGAGGATGAGCTGGTGTCCACGTTGAAACATCTAGTCTCCGAGAAGCTGAACGTCCCGGTGCGCCAGCAGCGGCTGCTGTTCAAGGGCAAGGCACTGGCAGGTAACGCGGGGAGAGGAGACGCCCAGGGAGCCCTGCAGAAGTTGGGGTCGGAGTGTCTAGACCGAGCTAGGGCAGCAGTATGATAGGGGGTGATGGCCACTTGACTGTCTGGGTGATGGCTGATCCCTGCTCAGCCAGATGCCACAGTTGGCCCTGAGGTCACCCCCACCGCTGTGGGTAACAACTTCATCAGTCTCTTTTTGACAGATGGGAAAAGACTCTCCGATTACAGTATTGGGCCCAATTCCAAGCTCAACCTAGTGGTCAAGCCACTGGAGAAGGTGTTACTGGAAGAAAGTGGGGTCCGGAAACTGGCCGAGGCCTCACCCCCATGCCCACCTGCCTGGCAGCTGATTGCCAAAGTCTTGGCACGCCACTTCAGTGCTGCAGATGCCAGCAGAGTCCTGGATCAACTACAGAGGGTGAGAAGGGTAGCCCCAGGTGTCCACTCCTGCCCCAGCTTACTCCCATCTGCTTCTGTCCTGGTGTACCCCCATTGGCACCCCCTGAATCCTTCTGGCCTTCTCTCCTTAGGATTATGAGAGGTCCCTGAGCCGCCTGACCCTGGATGACATCGAACGTTTAGCTAGCCGCTTCCTGCACCCCGAAGTCACTGAAGCTATGGAGAAGGGGTTCTCCAAATAGGATTCACGGAGTGTGGGCATGAACCCAGCCAGGCTGCAAGATGCATGTGTAGCATTAAATGTGTTCTCATGTTGCAATTTGGCTTATAATAATAATAGCTGGTGGGTACCCAGGAACCTGTGCCCAGCTCTTGCTAGGTGCCAGGCACCACTGAAAGCACTTGACCTGAGTTTGCTCCTGCACCTCAAACAAAAGGTGAGACAGTCAAGGCTCCTTGCAGTGAGGTGGGGGAGCCAGAATCCAAGTCTAGCCAACTTCTAGAAGTGCCTCAGGATGAGAAAGAAAAGGGACTGTTTGGAAGATTTCGAGGAATGGGCTGTAGCTTTTTGTTTGTAGCCCACTGAGAATAAACCCTCAAGAGACTTCTTTCCAGATCTCTGGCAGGCCCAGCACTGGTGGGGGGCTAAGTGACAGCCAGCCCTGGGCCCCCGCAGCTGCTGCAGCCAGCGTGCACCTGACGAAGGAAGAGCAGGTTGGGGAGTCGGGGATGAATATGGCCCAGCTCTACGTTGCGACCTCAGGCAAGTCCCTGTGCTGTGTTGGTCCCCAGTCATTGACTGCCCAGTAAAGGCCACTCCTTAAACCTCACTCAGTTTCCTTCATCCTCACCCCATAACTGGGTGGGGGGGGGGCTGCAACAGTCCTCCCCTCTGTGTCCCATAAACAAACAGGGCAGAAGCTAAGCGATGGCTAAGCATGGCCCAGAGATGGGGTGTCCTGGCCCTCCCTGTCGCAGCTCTTCCCTTGGGTACCCCCTTTGCTTGTCTCCCAGTGGACGTGGACAGTTCTTGCTCCTTAGGGATGACAGGTGACTGGCTGGAGGTCACTCAGCAAGAGCCAGGCCTTAGCCAGGCCCCTGCAGCGTGTGCTTATCCTCAGAATGGGAATGGACCCTTCCCCTGCCATGTGTGCACAAGGGCTTTCACTTTGCACACCCCCCCCACTGCCTAACAGGAAGCCTCAGGGTGCCAGGGAGGGGACAGAAGCATGGCCTGGTGGCACCTGCCAGGTATACGGGCACTAGAGCTCATTTAGGCACCTGCTCCTTGGAAGAGAGCACTCAGGGCAGTTGAGGCTGGGAGGAAGCTGTGTGCACAGGAGGATGGATGCTCTGGCCCCACCACCCTCCCTGCCTGAGGCCCTCCTCCTGGGTCCCTGGGCTGGGAAGACAGACAGAGGCCCGACGGGTGAGGGATTTGAAGAGTAGACAGTCCCTGGTCCCACCTGAGAGCTGGGAACATCAAAGAGCAGGGCCCACCTAGGAGCCCGTGTGATCTGGCAGCTCATGTGATAGACTTACCAATGCTCTCATTTATTTCAAGTCAGGAAGTTTATGTCGAAATTTTAAATAGCACTTGAGGTGAATGTGAGACTTTGATCCAAAAAGAACTATATTAGTTAGGCTGCTTTTGGTTTCCAGTAGTTAGTTGAACCAAAATGGAAATCAATTTAAACAATAAAGGAAACTTACTGGTTTACAAAACTGAGAAATTCAGGGGTATTGGCAGCAGATGAACAACCTCACCAAATACCCAGTTTTGTCCTACCTCCCCTCTGCACTCCACAGTGTCTGCTTTGTCCCAGGCTGCCGCCTCAGGACCAATAGATGGCTGCCTGCAGCTTCCACTGAGTCCCTCGTTTATAGCCAGCAAGGAGCACCTTCTTGCCCTGTAGCATAGCTTCTTTCTCAGATGCCCCCAGCAAATAAATGCTGTCCTTTTCTTGGTCAGAACTGGGTCATGCCTCCAATCATTTTGTTCAGGGGCGGGTTGGGGTGGGTAGTGGGAAGCCAGCCCCTTGGAAACACAGGCTGTGGGAGGGAAAGGGGGATTCTCAACAAAAGCCAGGTCCTCGAGAGGGTGAGTAGTGTCCCAAACAGCAACTGTCCACTGCAGGGGAGTGACACGCAGATGCACATTTCAGACAGACCCTAGAATTGGTCATTGAGTACCTTGTGCCAGTGCCTCCCAGCCTGAGGGTGACAGCAATCTGGTGGCTAAGAGCTATCTCCTGGGCAGATGGGGGTCAGGAACTCAGGAGATTGGGCTGGACATGGAGACAGGAATAAAGTCTTCAGGGTGTATGATGGAAGCCTTGCTGAAGGGAGAACTGGCTGGGACCCAGGCCCAGTCTGATTCCAGAGCCCTCTGCAGCTGATGGCTGTGAGTTACCTATGGAAAGGACATCCTAGAAGCTGTGCAGATGGATGAGGTGGCTTCCCAGAGAGTGCGGCATGAAAAGAGAGGAGAGGACTGGACCTTGAAGAACTTCACCGGCCGGAGACGTGGTAGAGGCCAGGAACACCCCCAGAGGCAGGGCCACGGGGGGGGGGGCGCAGTGTCAGAAGCCAAGAATGCCCCTCCAGAAAGGGGAAGTTTCCCACTGCTGCCAAGAGGCAAAGTGAGGGCAGGACGGAGCCGCCTCTGCATTAGGAGCAAAAAGGTCATTGGTGATGTTGGGAGTGGGCAAAAAGCAACTGCAGCGTGAGGAGACGAGGAGGTGGTGACTGGGGCCACCTCAGTTCAGAAGATGTGTGTGGTGGGACAAGGATGGGCAGGAAAGGGAGGAAATGCTGCAGGGACGAGTACAGGAGGCCCAGGTCGGGAGGGGCCAGGAGGTTCTGGTCCAATCCCGGTGCCACCACCAGAGGAGAACAGGGCCTCCAAATGAAGGGAGAGTAGCCGCAGGCTGCACTCTGCCTTCGTCCCTAGGGTGTGGGGATGGCCCAGGAGACACCTGCAGGCCCCAAATGCTAAGCTCCTTCAATAGGTGTCGGAAGGTTTACTGCAGGTGTTGTGGCCCTCCTAGCCAAGTGTCCACCCAGGCCACCCACCCACTGCTACCTGTCCCCTGCCCACTGTGAGGCCCTGTGACCCATTGCCTGCCCCTTGAGAAGGGGCCTCAAACATTCCTTGACCTACTCCCAGGGATATGGTACAGCTTGAAGGCCCTCTTGGGATCTGGACGACACTAAGAAAAGGCAGAATGAATGGTGGCCTCTCAGAGAGAAATGGCTTGGCGCCTGAACTGAGATGCTTGTGACACAATTTCTCAAGGGCCCAGGGAGGAGGGGCAGACTCAGAGGAGAGCTGCGTTTGCTTTAGGGTTGGCTTGTTGAGTTGAAGGTGCCCAGGTGACAGATTCAATGTGCCTACAATTTGTTGGTGCTTTGCAGGACTCCCATGCAGGCCTGGCCAAAACCAGGCCTCGCCAGCCCCCGTAGGTCCAACAGGGCACTGTGTAGCCACACAAGGCACTCTTGAAGCAAATGTGACAGCCGCAGTTGGCCTCCGACTGCCAGGCCCTGGAAACCCTGCGGGAGAGACAACGGCTCTGTCCACCTACAGGGCCCAGCTGGAGCAGCCTCCCTGGGCTCCTGGGGACTCGACCCTATCCACATACCCCTCTTGGGGTGACCAAGTGACTCTGGCATTCCTCATTTCTTGCCCTCTTCTGCCCTCACTTTCCTGCCTTTTCTTCCTCTTCACTGCTCACTCCTTCTCTCGCTCCTTTGCCAGTTTTTCCCCTTCACGCACACATCCCACCTTTTAATGGCGGGGGGTCTCCAGGACTCTATCCCCAGAGCTTTTCTCTTCTTTTTCTTTATCACTTCCTCAGAGAGCTTCTCTGCCTTCACTCCCAGCCTTCTCTCCTGAGCTCCAGGCTATGTCTCCAGAGTGAGATTCTGAGACAGCTCTTGGCTCTCCTGTAGACACCTCATTCACTTCTTTATCACAAAACCCTGAGTGCCCGCCACGTCCCAAATGTGGGTAACACTGGATCTGAAAGACACAGTCCCTTCCCTCTTGCCTGCATATCAGCCTGTCTTGATGAATGAATATACCACTCAGTCAGGCTTTTAAGGACAGGAAGCAGGAGGCCACTTTTGCTCCTCCCAACTCTCCCATCTCCATAGATGATATGTTTTGAATAGTCCAGAGCAGTTGCCTTGTAGATGTTCCAGAATCTAGATATGGAGGGAGAAAGAGAGGGAGAGAAACACTGTTGTGTGATTGCCTCTCGTGCACCCCCTACTGGGGACCTGCAACCCCAGCATGTGCCCTGACCGGGAATCGAACCTGCAACCCTTTGGTTTGCAGGCCAGCACTCAATCCACTGAGCCACATCAGCCAGGGCCAGCTTAAGTGTTTTTGATGAGAGCACTCCCATGGGGATGCTGTGTCTTTCCTCCTTCTCCCCACCCTCAACATCTGGAGCCACTCAAGGTCAGGCTGTTGCATTGCTGGGGAGGCTCAGTCACATGGTCAGGGTGGGGGCTGGCTGGTCTCTCTGTTGTAATGTTGCATTTTCCCATCGTAACGCACAATGGATCCAGGGTAAAACCTTGAGTTTCTGTGAATATCCTTCTCCCCAACAATCTTAATCTACTGGTTTCACCATCTGGGGATGACGCTTACCTGAGCGAATTGCATTAGTGGCTGCAAAAACATGGTGGTTTTTTTGATGCTTTCTTTCTTTCTGCAGTTCTCAATTGGCATTTATCCTTTTTCCCTGCTGTCTTTTCTCAGTGATCAAGCTATTTACTCAACAATTTAGAATCCAAGAGTGTCATTTTAGGGGGTAATTTTTATTGGACTATAGCATACATAGAGTAATCTGCGCAAATCATCTCTATACAGCTTGAAGGATTTTTAAAGTGAATACACCTACGTATCTATCCCATCCGGATCAAAATACAGAATATTGCCAGCACCGCAGCACCTTCCCTGGTGCCCCTTTCAATCATATTCCTCTCCAAAGGGTTTAATATCCTTTTGGATGCTCAAATTGTTCTAGCTTTGGCTCTTTCCTGTTGATTTGTGTTCCTTTGACATGGCTGGTCCTTTTGTTTTTCAAGCCCTTCCTTCCTGTCACTACAAGGTTCCACAGGCTCATCTTCTATTTATTTGTCCTGCCCCAACCCTAGAATCAGGCATTTCTACCCAAAGCTCTGGTTCTTTTCAGTGGAGGATGGTGTTGAGAAACCAAGGTCTGGGTGCAGGGTGTGTGCATTGCTACCAGGTCTCACTGCTTCTAGACTCTTACTGGGCAAAACTTTGAAAGACAGTTTTTTACAAGTTTAGTCATTCCACGCTGCCCAGAGAGGGGCCCATATGGTGTTGTTTTCAGTTGCCATGTAACTTAAAGGGCAACTTTCACAATGTCCAGAGGCCTCGATGTCCGGCAGATGAAGGAGGGAGATGTCCTCAGGAACCCACTAGGTGGCACCAACCTTGACTTTCAAATGGAGCAGGACATCTACAAAAGGAAAAGTGATGGCATCTACATCATAAATCTGAAGAGAAACTGCAAGAAGTTCTGCTGGCAGCTCATCCCTTTGTTGCCATTGAGAACCCCGCTGATGTCAATGTCACATTGTGCAGGAACACCGGCCAGTGAGCAGTGCTGAAGTCTGCTGCTGCCACTGGAGCCACTCCCACTTCCGGCCGCATCACTCCTGGCACCTTCACTAACCAGGTCCAGGAGGCCTTCCTGGAGCTGAGACTTCTGGTGGTAACCCATCCCAGGGCTGGCCATCAGCCTCTCACTGAGGCATCCTACGTTAACTGCCTACCATCACTCTGTGTCACACGCTCTACTCTGGGCTATGAAGACAGTGGGTCTGATGTGGAGGATGCTGACCAGGGAAGTTCTGTGCACATGCAGCACCATCTCCCATCAATACCCATGGGAGGTCCTGCCTGGTCTTGACTTCTACAGAGATCCCAAAGAGCTTGAGAAGAAAGAGCAGGCCACTGCTGAAAAGGCTGTGACTAAGGAGGAAATTTAGGGTGAATGGACTGCTCTGGTTCCCCAGTTCACTGCTGCTCAGCCTGAGCTCACTGACTGGTCTGAAGGTGCAGGTGCCCTCTGTGCCTGTTCAGCAGTTTCCCACTGAAGACTGGAGCGCTCAGCCTGCCCCTGAAGCCTGGTCAGCAGCACCCACTGCACAGGCCACTGAGCGGGTGGGAACAACCACTGAGCGGTCTTGAGCTTTTCTTCCACAAACTGTTAACAGAATGCAAATAAGGTTGACAGAGAATAAACAGTTTCTAAAGGGGGAAGAGAGAGAGTTTATACTGCAATCCCCAATTTTAATCCAGCATCAATTCTCTCTGTCACCTCCCCTTATTCCACCGCGAGAAGTCTCATTCCCCACAGCATCACTATATTTACACATTGGCTCTACCACATAAAGCCTGCCTTAACGTACTCCCCAAATAGCACTACAGTCCCCCGATCACTACCGTCGCTGACAACATACATCCTAAGAGCAAAGTCAGTGCCTTTTATCCTAAGAATATATCTCAGGAAGGGAGTATAGTCAGACAGCTGAGTTTAAAAGGCACCTGAATTATTTTCTGTGTGGCTTTGTTATAAATTGGATATGCAGTTAGGCTCATTAGCCTTTGTTTTTATTCAATTTTAGCACTTGATTTTTCAGTCTTTTTTTAAAAGATTTTATTGATTTATTTTTAGAGAGAGGGGAAAGGAAGGAGAAAGAGAGAGAGAAACGTTGATGCGAGAGAGGAATATCAATCAATGCCTCTCACAGTCCCCCAATAGGGGACCTGGCCTGCAACTCAGGCATATGCCCTGACTGGGAACTAAATCAGCAACCTTTCGGTCCACAGGCCAGCACTCAATCGACTGAGCCACACCAACCAGGACAGATTTATTCACTCTTTCAAATGTATTTTTGCACATTTAAAATATTTATAATGGTTCAGCCCTGGCTGCTGTGGCTCAGTGGACTGAGCACCGGCCTATGAACCAGAGGATCATAGGTTCGATCCCCAGTCAGGGCTCATGCCTGGGTTATGGGCCAGGGCCCCAGTAGGGGACACAAAAGAGGCAGCCACACATTGATGTTTCTCTCCCCCTCTTTCTCCTTCCCTTCCCTTCTATCTCAAAAATAAGTAAGTACAATATTTTTAAAAGATAAAATATTTACAATAGCTCAAAGTCAAAACTACACAAAAGTCTGTTCCAAGAAATCCCACACTCTTGTCAACTTCCTATAGGTGACCATTTTCGTTAGTTTTGAGTTTCTCCTTGTGTCTTTAATAAGTATGTGTGTCTGTGAGTGTATATGTCCTTTGCACTCTGCTTTTTTTCACATAACAATGTATCCTGAAAATTATTTCATTTTTATTAGAGATTTTCATTCTTTTTTTTCTTCAAGATTTTACTTATTTATTTTTAGAGAGCAGAAGGGAGGGAGAAAGAGAGGAAGAGAACATAATTGTGTGGTGCCTCTAGCACGTCCCCTACTGGGGACCTGGCCCATAACTCAGGCATATGCGCTGACTGGGAATCAAACTGGCAACCCTTTGGTTTGCAGGCCAGCACTCAATTCACTGAGCCACACCAGCCACAAAGGATTTTCACTCTTTTTTACTGCTGCTTAGAACTATTGTATGAATGTACCATAGATTAGTTCACCAGTTCCCTGATGATGGACATATACATTGTGTATGATAACTTTATGTTACCAATTATATTACAGTGAATACCTGTGTGCATCTTATTTTGTATCTATGAAGTAATTTCCTGCGTGGGGATTGCTGGGTCCGAGACAGTGATTGAGTTTTGTACATATGGAATATTTTGTTCCATTCAATGTGCAAAAAATGGCATACTGTACAAACTACTGAACAAGAAAAAGGTACCAGGGATGATATATCAACAACTTATTGAGTGAACAAAACAAGATTTTAATTTCAGATTATTAGAGATGCTATGCAACAATTTAAAATGGGCAAAGGTGATGAAGTGTGCCTGGGGGTAGTATGTTAGAGCGTTGATCCAGAACTCCTCTCAGAGGTGACATCGGACTCAAGATCCTACGACAAGAAGGAACCAGCCATGGGGAAGTTTGGGGACAGTCTTCCAAATAGAAGAGTAAGTGCAATGGGCTGGGACCAGGGCACCCCTGGTCAGGGGCTGAGAAATGGCTCCAGAGGCTGCAGAGCACGAGGAAGCCGACAGGTGGGGGCAGAGGGTGGAGGAGCTGGAAGTCAGGACACCTGGGGTTTTTACAAGACACGGCAAAGAGTTCAGATTTGATTCTAAGGGCGATGGGAAATCATTGTAAGGTTTTAAGCAGAGACGTGATATGAAATGACTTATATTAAAAATTAAGACTTAATCCTGGTGCGTGAAGAGCAAGCTCTAGAGGAGCAAGTGTAGAAGAAAACTAGGTAGGAGGCTGTGGGGGGAGCTCAGGGAGGGACAAAGAGGGAGAGAAGTGGGCTGATTAGGTTCTGTTTTAAGGGGAGATCCAACAGGACTTAATTATACAGTTCAGCTTTATATCCTTCTTTATGATTACAATGAGGAATGGAAAACTAATAGGGTAACCACCGTCAGAAATTTCATGTCACTTAAAAAAATTATTTTTGAGTCCTGGCCGGTGTGGCTCAGTTGGAGCGCAAAGTGGAAGGTCTCGGGTTCAATTTCTGGTCAGGGCACATGCCTGAGTTGTGGGTTTGGTCCTCTGTCAGGGTGCTTGCTGATCAATGTTTCTCTCCCTCTCTTACTCCCTTCTTTGTCCTCTAAAATCAATAAAAGTAAAAAAAAAAAAAGCAAACACTAAACCCGTTTTTTTTTTAAATGTCATATAAGGTCACTGTCAAAAATGTTCAGAAAAACAGAAATAGGAAGTTATCACCCACAGCGCCATCACACAGAGATAACAAGTGTTTACTTTTTGGTGTATTGTTCTAGGATTTCAGTGCATATAGTAAGTTATTAAGTTGGGACTTTTGTGACTTTAGTTTTGTACTTTGACTTTCCACATGTGAAATTAGCCCTATTCCCAGTGCGACTACTTTATCTCAAATCCCTGTCATTTCCTACCTTGCTTCTGTGCGGGGTTTCCCTGCTGGCAGGCTTCACCTTTGGTCTTTCTGAAGGGCAAATATGATTGGCTCGTCACCCCCTTTAAAATCCCCTTTGATTTCTGCATGCAGAGTGGTAGCGCTTTTGGACTATCCGACCCCACCTCCCTCCACAAATCACTGCGTGGACATTGAGCCACATTTCTTGGGGACATTGAGCCCAGGGAACCGACAAGGAGGGAGACTAGCCCACCTGTCTGTAGCCCTACACGAGGTAGGGGGAAAGAGGAACGGGTTTGCACCGGGGCAGTGGGATCACTGGTCGCTCTAAGGGGCGGAGCATCGTGAGCTAGGCAGCCAGTAACGTGTCTCCAGGCTGTGGCGGGGCTGGCTGGGCAGGAACCAATCTCCTGTCCTACCGAATTGCTTGCGCGGACGCAAGGATTCTGCGCACGAGCTCTGGGGATCCCCAGTTAAACTGCGCGCTAAGGGGCGGGGTTTTATGAAGGAGTGCCCTTTGGGGTCTCCCAGACCTGCGGGTTGCAGGGCCAGGTTGGTGGGAACTGACCACACAACTGGTTTCCCATAGCCTTGTCACTGTTGCGTCTCCTTGGAAGCCTCACTAGGGACCTGTTCGGGCAGGCGCCCTGGGGTAGAGTCATGCCCAGAAAGAAGGGGCTTCTTCAGGGAGTCTCAGTTTTTTCATGGCCAAAGGACTTTCTGAGAGCACAGAGCACTGTCGGTTTGGTAGGAACTGACCACACTGCTCACTAGGCAGGGCCCTGCTGCGCAGGCCTATAGGGTAGTCAGCGCGACGGGGCGGAGAGCGCAGATGGTTAAATTCGCGCCTCGGGGGCGGGGTCGAAGGCGGAGCACGGCGGCCATGCAGGCAGCAGACGCAGGCACTACTGGAGCCCAAGGCCTGGATAGCCAGGATGGCTACGCCACCCCGCGGGGTGCAGGCGCGGCGGCCGCTGTAGCCGGCGGAGCTCCTTGTGATGCGCGAACACAGAGTGCCTCAGGGTGGGGCGGAGAAGCAGCAGTCACGGTCAGAAGGCTGGAAAATCGACCACATACTTTGTAACCTACCCGAGGGGACAGCGAGGAATACGCTGGGGGCTGCCTTCTGGAGGGTTGCTTTGGGTGCCGGACGGAAATGTTGGGGCCGAAAGGGGAGCGGAGGGAACCAGGCGCAACTTGGGTGTGTATGGTCCAGGGGCAGTCTGGAGGGGAAGAGGAAATGAGAGCGGGCGGGGGGGGGCGGGGATAACGAGGTGGCTAGTGGGAATTAGGGCTAGGGGTGCTCTGGAGGGGGTTGATGGAAGTAGTCCTTGGAGAGGTGTGTGAGACTAATCAAGGTGGCCTGAGAGGGGACCTGAGACCAAAGTCGGTGTGGATGGTGCCTTAACCGAATCTCCACCAGCGCCCTCAGTGTGCCTTTTCCGTCCCCCTTGGAGGCAGACATTGCCCGCGGATCCCTGGCCCCCGATGCGGAACCCCATCGAGAGGCAATTCGGAAGGAGCTCACAGTGAGCGGCAGCGTCCTAGCAATGTAAGCTATAGAGAGGGGGCAGCAGGTGGCAGGGCCAGACTCCACCGAGGGGCGCTTTATTGGAGAGAATACACTCAAGAATTAGATCTAGGGGAGGGACTAGAATTAGATCTAAGGGGATGTTGTAGTGGAGACAGCAAAGGGTTCAGTCTAATGCCCAGGGGCAGAGCAAGGAAGAGAGGGATTACTACCTCTAATTTGATTTTCTTTTCTGCCCCCTCACTTTTAGCTGCTGGAGAGCTGAAGATGCTCACCTCCTCCGAATCTCCATCATCAACTTTCTTGACCAGCTTTCCCTGGTGATGCGAACCATGCAGCGCTTTGGGCCCCCTCTTTCCCGCTAAACCCGGGCTAGGAAAGGGGGGCTGAGGCCCAACCTTGCATCCGGTCCTAGGCAGTGGACCCTTCCCACAGCAGGGATTCCTGCACTAGGCACCACTTTCCCATGGGGCCCTAATATTTTGCATGCATTGGCCCTGGGGCACTTGCGGTCCACTCGTTTGGTTTAGTGCTTCAGTGTTTGTCGCTGCAGCAAATAAAACTGAGCTACTATTTCACATGAGTTTCTTTTCAACTGCAGCACCTCTTAACAGGCTTGGCTTTGTCTTGGGCTGGGAGAGGAGGTCTGGAAGTGGAAGGTGGGTTTTGTATCTCAGTATTAACTACTGTGAACATTTTGGAATCATTCTTCAGTTTTATAGCTGTATTTCCATAGTCAATGTATAACAATAACATAATGTATAATATTTTGCAAGGTTAGTATTTTTTACTAATATTTTTCATCTAACACAAACCTTTCCTCTTTCTAAAACTTCTTCAAAAGCATTATTGAATGCAGGCATAACAGATACATAATAATGTAATTATTGACCATTTAAATTATTTGCATTTTTCTCCTGTTACAGGTAATAATTCAATGGAATTCTTGCATATAAATTTTTGTGTGAACCATTGTGTGATAGAGTCCAAGAAGCCCTGGCTGGTGTGGCACAGTTGGTTGGACTGTCATCCTATACACCAAAAAGTTGCAGGTTTGAATCCCATTCAGGGAACATACCTAGGTTGCAGGTTTGATCCCCAGTTAGGGTGCATATGGAAGGCAACCAACTGATACTGTTTTCTTTTAGTACATTTTAGTGATTATGCTATTACAGTTGTCCCTTTTTTCTCCTCTTTATCCCCCTGCGCCCTACACCCCCTTCCCCTTAGCATTATTCCCCCCTTAGTTCATGTCCGTAGGTCGTACATATAAGTTCTTTGACTTCTCCATTTCCCATATCATTCTTAATCTTCCCCCTGTCTATTTTGTACCTACCATTTATGCTTCTTATTCCCTGTACCTTTTCCCCCATTGTCCCCACTCCTCTTCCCCTCTGATAACCCTCCATGTGATCTCCATTTCTATGATTCTGTCCTGCTTTAGTTATTTGCTTAGTTTGCTTTTGTTTTTATTTCTTAGGTTCAGTTGTTGATAGTTACGAGTTTATCATTTTAATGTTCATAGTTTTGATCTTCTTTTTCTTAGATAAGCCCCTTTAACATTTCATATAATAAGGGCTTGGTGATGATGAACTCCTTGAACTTGACTTTTATCTGCGAAGCACTTTATCTGCCCTCCCATTCTAAATGATAGCTTTGCTGGATAGAGACATCTTGGATGTAGGTCCTTGCCTTTCATGACTTTGAATACTTCTCTCCAGCCTCTTGTCTTGGTGTGTTCGTTTTTGGGGTCTAACTTCTTTGGGACTCTCTGAGCTTCGTGGACTTCCTGGAAGTCTATTTCCTTACCCAGATTGGGGAATTTCTCCTTCATTACTTTTTCAAATAAGTTTTCAATTTTTTGCTCTTCTTCTTCTCCTTCTGGCACCACTATAATTCAGATGTTGGAATGTTTAAAGTTTTCTTGGAAGTTCCTAAGCCTCTCCTCATTGTTTTGAATTCTTATTTCTTCCTCCTGTTCCAAATCATTGATTTGAATCCTGGTTTTCTTCCCTTTACATTTTTCTTTATTTTACTTTGCACAGCCTTTACTTCTTCCTTTGTTTTGTGCTTCTGTACTCAGTCGTATCTGTGAGCATTTTTATTACCATTGTTTTTGATAGGTTACCTATCTCCTCGTTGCTTCATTCTTTTTCTGTTTTTATTTTAAAATCTTTGTTTACTTTTAGAGAGAAGGGAAGGGAGGGAGAAAGAGTGGGAGAGAAACACCAATTTGTAAGAGATATATCAATGGGTTGCCTCCCACAAGCCCCTGAATGGGAACCTGGGAACCAACCTAGGCATGTGCCCCAGCCAGGAATCAACTCAGTGTGACCTTTTAGTTTGCCGGCTAGTGCTCAATCCCGTGAGCCACTAGCTCAGGGATTTTTCCCCATGATTTTGATCTGTTCTTTCATTTGGGCCATATTTTTTTTTCTCAGCCTGCCTGTTATGTAGTAAAGGGTAGAGCCTTAGGTATTTGCCACTGCCAGGCAACCCACTTCCCTGCGTTGTGGTGCTGTCTGTAGGGAGGGCTCAGAGAGGGAACAGTGCCACTTGCTTGGCTCTTACCCCTCTTTCAGTCACTTCCTCCACTACCAGCAAGCAAATGGTGCCTTTCCGGTGCTGATTCATGGGTGGGTGGGTTTGTGTAAATTCTAGGATCCCATGGGTCCCTCCAATGGGCTCTCCTGTGAGACTAGGAGTTTCTCCTGCCACCACAACCCCCACAGATTTTTATAGCCAGAGGTATTGAGGCTTCATTTCTCCACACTGGAACCCTGGGTTGTGTGGTCTGTCTCGGTCCCCAGGTGTTCCTTTCGATTTATCCACATGCAAATGTGGGATCGTTCAGTCTTCCAGCCCCCACCTCACCCACCTGGCTGGCCATCTGCTGCCTTGCCTCACATCCTCTCCACACTGGCCACTTGTCTCCATCCCTCCTACCAGTCTGGATGAATGTTTCTTTAACTCCTTGGTTGTCGACTTTTATTATCTGGCAGTTCTGGTTCTTCTTTGTTTTTTTTTTTTGTTTTGTTTTTTTTTAGATTTTATTTATTTCTCTTTAGAGGGGAAGGGAAGGAGAGAGGGAGAGAAACATCAATGTATGGTTGCCTTTCGTGCGTCCCCTGCTGGGAACTGGCCTGCAGGGAACCTGCCTGCAACCCTGGCATGTGCCCTGACTGGGAATCGAACTGCGATTGTCTGGTTCGCAGGCCCGTGCTCAATCCACTGAGCTACACCAGCCAGGGCTCTTCTTTGTTTTTAAATTGGTTGTTGTCCTTCTTTGTGTGAGGAAGTGAAGTGTATCTACCTACATCTCCATCTTGGCCAGAAGTCTCCAATTGGTGTTTCTCCCATAGATGTGTCTTTCTCTCTGCCTCTCTCTCTAAAATCAATAAACACACTTAAATTTTTTAACTGGTATGTCTGTATTTCGTGAGCCATTAAATTTTAACCAATATTCCTTTTTTAATTTGATTTAAAATTTTTCAATGATATTTTATTGATTATACAATTACAGTTTTCCCAATTTTTCCCCTTTGCACCTGTCCACCCACTACTTCTATTCCCTCAGGCAGTCCCCCCACCATCGTTCATGTCCATGGGTCAAGTGTATAAGTTCTTTGGCTACTCCATTTTCTATCCTTTATTTTACATCCCCATGCGATTCTGTAACTACATAGTTGTACTTCGTTATTAGAAAAAAAAAAACATTTTATTTGCTTACTTATTTCCAGAGAAAGAGGGAGAAAGAAAGGGAAAGACACATTGATTTGTTGCCTCTTGCATGCCCCCAGCTGGGGACCTGGACCACAACCCAGGCATGTGCACTGACCAGAAATTGAACCAGCAACCTTTCGGTTCTGACGCTGGTGCTCAGCCCACTAAGCCACACCAGCCAGGGCCTATTTGTATTTCTTAACCTCTTCAACTCTTCACTCATTCCCCCATATCCCCCTCCCATCTGGCCACCATCAAAACACTCTTTGTATCCATGATTCTGTCTCTGTTCTTATTTGCTTAGTTTGTTTTTTAGGTTCAGTTGTTGACTGGTATGTATTTTTGCCATTTTATTGTTCGTAGTTGTGATCTCCTTTTTCTTCATAAGTTCCTTTAACATTTCATATAATAAGGGCTTGGTGATGATGAACTCCTTTAGTTTCTTCTTGTCTGGGAAGCTCTTTATCTGCCTTTCAATTCTAAATGACAGCTTTGCTGGGTAGACCAATCTTGACTGTAAATCCTTGCTTTTCATGACTTTGAATATTTCTTGCCAATCCTTTCTTGCCTGCAAAGTTGTTTTTTTTTTTTTTTTTTGAGAAATCAGCTGACAATCTTTTTAGAACTGCCTTGTAGGTAACTAACTCCTTTTCTCTTGCTGCTTTTAAGATTCTCTCTTTATCTTTAACCTTTGGCATTTTAATTATGATGTGTCTTGGAGTAGGCCTCTTTGCATCCATCTTGTTTGGGACTCTCTGTGCTTCCTCGATTTGCATGTCTATTTACTTCACCAAATTAGGGAAGTTTTCTTTCATTATTTTTTCAAATAGAGTTCCAATTTCTGGCTCTTTCTCTTCTTCTTCTGCCATCCTTATGATGTGAATATTGGACCTCTTCAAGATGTCTGAGAGAGTGCTTATACTATCCTCATATTTTTTGGATTATTTTCACTTGTTCTGATTGGTTATTTTTTTTCTTTTTTATGTCCCACATAATTGATTTGATTCTTGGCTTCACCCACTCTACTGTTGTTCCCCTGTAAATTGTTCTTTATTTCAATTAGTGTGTCTTTCATTTCTGACTGGATCTTTTTCATGTTGCTGAGGTCCTCACTAAGTTCCTTGGGCATCCTTATAACCAGTGTTCTGAACTTTGTATCTGTTAGATTGCTTATCTGCATTTAGCTCTTTTTCTGGAGTTTTGATCTGTTCTTTCATTTGGGCCCTGTTTCTTTGTCTCCTCATTTTGGCAGCCTCCCTGTGTTTGTTTCTATGTATTAGGTAGAGCTGCTTTGATTCTGCGTCTTGGTAGCATGGCCTAATGTAGTAGGTGTCCTGTAGAGTCCAGTGGCACAGCCTCCCCTATCACCCAAGCTGGGTTCTCAAGGTGCATCCATCGTGTGGGCTGAGTACCCCCTCCTCTTGCAGTTGAGCCTTGGTTGCTGTTGGCAGATCAATGGGAGGGACTTACCCAGGCCAGTCAACTGAAAGGATTGGCTGTGACCACTGACCACCAACTTCTGCTCTCCCTGAAGGATCAGCTGTACAGGGGCAGGGTGGTGGTGCTCCGATGTGGACTGTAGCTGTCCAGTGGGTGCACTGGCTCTTGGGTTGCCCAGGTGGTACAGGCCTAGATCAGTCCCCACCTGTGTGTTGCCCAGGGATACCCTGCCTGAGCTACAAAGGCAGGTTACTTGTGCTGGGCTTGGAGATTCCCAGGTGGAGCCAAGTTTTGAATCTAGGCTGTTTGCTGCTAGTGGTGGGCCTGGGGCTCACTGAGGCCAGTTGTGCTTGTTTGAGAAGATTTAGGAAGTGGTATGATATGCACCAAGACCAGCCACTCATATGGAAAT